ATCTATCAAGGGGTTATGAGGGTGGAGGGGGGGAGCTGATACCAAGGGCTCAATAGAAAGTAAATATCTAGAAAAAAATGAAGGCAACATGTGTACAAAACTCGCCTGATGCAGGCGATGTATGGATTGTGACCAGAGTTGTAAGAGTCCAAAAAATTAAAATTAAAAAAATAATAATAAACCAGCTTCCCATTGGCCAACATAGCCCAAAATGACTGTAAGCCTCTCGGTTTCTCTCTGTCTATGTACCAGGTGGGTAGGCTCAGAGGCTTTCCAGTAAAATCCCCTCATTAGAAAGGGTGACTTGGACCAGCTCAGACTTACCCAGTCTTCCCAGGATGCCTTGGGATTCTGCTTCTTGAAGGGCTCCAGCCTTTTCAGGATGGTCTGACAAGCCTCCTAAAGAGAATGCCCAACACACGAGGCGCCTCAGTCCCCCGCATTCCATGGCCAGGGGGAAAAAAAAATCCATGGCCAGGGCAAGGGAATTAACAAAGCCAAGTCATGTTGAGCACCAGTATGACTTAGACCTCCGTGCTGCCACCCTCCCAGAGCTGAGGAGCCTAGAGGGGAAGCCACCCGTCTCTACCAAAGCGGTTACCACTGGCTTTGCTTGGAGAACACTTCCTGAATCAGTTCTCCAGGACCTTGCAGAATCAGGCTGATAATGTGCAAGATGTTACAAGGACCATGCATAGGAAGCTCCTCCTACCAATCCCCCTTGTTGGATTATATTCCCACATGTGTAAGGAGCAGCAGGAGGGTCTGACCTCATGGACCCCACAATCGGATTTCAATTTCAGCTCAGTTGCTTGTGATCCCCCCAACCTTCTCTTCCCTCCTCCTGCACTTTGGATGGAAGTGTTTAGTATTCTTGAGTCTCCCCTCCAGCCTGTAGTTTAGAGGGAAGCGTCCTCTTGGATAAGAGAGCCAAAGCCATGATCATAGTCAGAGGTCCAACTACTGCTTAGGGAACTCTCCCCACCCAAAGCCCTGGCTGGCCCCTTACGTAGACAGCCTGTCCATTGATGTCAGTGCTGACGGAGGCGGCTGTCGGAGAGGAATTAGGCACAGTACTTGTGCTCGTCTCACTGATGTAAATCTTAGAGGTGGGAATTTTCAGAGCTCTGCTGGCCACCTGCAAAAAGAGAATATATCATCCTCTGGGGAAGGGGTCATCGCAGGGTTTGGCTGTGTTCTACCCAAGACAGCATTCAGGTTCACTGTTACAGGCAAAAAAAAGAAAGGTCACTTTGCAAGCTCTAATTTTATTGAGACTGGGAAGTCCTTATGACTGGCTGAATTTGAAGCAGCATTTTGTAATGTGATTTAGTTGGGTCACAAATGCATAAACCTAGTGGTGACCGACAGAAGAGCACAGCTGGTGTTGTGGGTTATGCATTGAGCTGCTAATCGCAAGGTCAGCGGTTTGAAACCACCAACCTCTCTGTGGGAGAAAGAAGAGGGTTTCTGCTCCTATAGAGGTTTACAATCTTAGAAACCCACAAGGGAAGTTCTACTCTGTCCTGCAGCATCCCTATGAGCCATGGCTGACTCGATGATAGTGGGTTTCTTGAATGATGACCAACAACACCTCTTTAAGCTAACCCTAGCTTTTAAGAATCCATTTGGGCCAATCCTCATGAGCCAAGTGCATGTGCCAAGCTGAATTCTGCTCCATCAACCAGGCTCCCATGTGAGAAGTCTCAGAGTGGGTGATGAACTAGCTTCCTTCATACAGAATTTGATCTCCCTTACACAGAAGCATTGAGCCCTGGGATGTTGGGAATAGAAGTGACCTCCGTGATCACCTGGCCCATCCCTAGGCACAGATGAGAAAACCACAGGTGAAGGGGAGACTTGCTCAGGGCCATTACCAAATGAAGGCCAAAGCCCAGGGGAGCTTCTGTTGTCAGGATACCCTACCGCTTAGGTTGTCATTGAAGATGGCATGGTGGCAGATAAGATTCTCATCATACCATGTCCCCTCCTTGAGCTCTGTCTGCTCACCTGGACCATCTTGGTGTGTAGGCCTTGGCCCATCTCGGTTCCTCCATGGGTCAGCAGCACAGAGCCGTCTGTGTACACATGTAACAGAGCCCCTGCCTGAATGAAGAGAATGGTGTCAGGCAAGGCTCAACAAGCTCTTAGCTTAACACAGTCTCAGTCCCTAAACTCAACTCTGCACAACTTGGAACCAAAGGTCCGAGGACCCAGGAAAAAGAAAAGCAGCAGCAACATTTTTAATATACACTCCTGTAAAGAATTATAGCAATCTAAATACCGTGGTTTAATTGAAATCTTGTGATTTTAAATTACACTTAAAAGAAGTAGGTCAGGCATCATCGTCTTCCTTCTCAAGATGAAGACAAAGAGGCTGAGAAAGCAGAGAAGCTGTGGAGAGCCCTACAATTAGGTGGAGTGAGCGCTAAAGGCTGAGCCAGATCCCCGAGCTGCTTTGCCTGTCCTGTGATATAGTAGAGATACAGAGACATGACTTAACAGCAAGGAGAGTCTGGGTAATTGTTGCCAGTGACAATGGGATTTCCCTCACAATACTATAAAGGAAAGCTGGCATACCAAGCCTGTAGAGGTCAACAAGATTTGATATAAATAATTTTGAAGCTATTACCTGATTCAGAAAAGGCACTGTGAAGCTTATCCCAAATTTGGTAGGGATTATGCACAATCCTCTCTTTTTCCAACAATTCTCTCTGGAGAGAAAAGAACATTCTCATAGGACTTTCTCGAATGTACTATTGGCAGGTTGGACATAGTCTCCGTTAACATTGTCTCATCAAATCAGGATGATGGGTCCTTGGCGCCATCCAGACCGCCATTGTCAACAAATGGGCTGTGCCCAAAATATGCAGGCAAATATGAGAAAGATGAGGGGTTATGTTCTGGGTCCTTGGATACACTGGAGCAGAGACCACACCTTGGAGTCCTGCTTTAAAGAGTGGGATTGGGATTAGGTCAGAGTAGCCTTGTGATCTTGGCATGCTGTCATCCCAGGCATGAGCTGTGACTTGCTGATGACAATACTTCTTCTGTGCCTTAAATTGGGGTATCAGTAACTCTGTGAGGAACATGAGGCAGCATCATTCTCCCTACTCTACTGCTGATGAAATCGAGCCCCAAGGAGATGACACAACCGCCACAGTCACAGCTCTAGATGCCTGATAGAGCCAGATGCACAACGGAGGTATTCTTAGCCCTGGGTCAAATTCTCTTTGTAACATGGCATTCCCAGAAGGCATGCAAAGTGGTAACAGTGAACAACTGCAGGGCTGTAACTCTAAGTATAGACACTGAGAACACCTGCCCCAAGGCTGAAAATCAGCAGCAGCATTGCTCTACGAAATTATTACTTTCCTAGTTTAGGCTCAGCAAAAAGGCTGCAGAATCTGAAACCCAAGAAAACCCCAGAGCATGACATTGCTCCCATCCCCGGCACTTACTTGTTGAACTTCTCAACGCTTCTCTTCCGTTCCTGGTACTGAGAACTTGCTAGGCATTCATCCCAACACCGGGACAGAGTGAATCCCTCCAGTTTCTGGTTGAAGTGCGTCAGGTCTCCCTCTTTGTACATGTTCTTTCTCCGCACCTTCCCAAGGAGAGAGACACTAAGAGCCTGTTGGTGGCAAGGGGCTAGACCTAAAGATTAGCTCCCAGCATGTTCAACAATGCCTGCACCACCTGCTTTCGTGGGAGATGTCCAAGATACACCGTCACTACCATCAACGTGGGTAAACCCACTCACACTTGTCCCATAGAATGCCCAGCTTACTTCTTCTGCAGGAAGACCACACGTCACTGCAACTTCGCTCATCCAGTTCTCGGCAATGAGCATCCCCTGGGGACCCCCGAAGCCCCGGAAAGCTGTGTTGGAGGCCAGGTTGGTCTTGCATAGCCGCCCAGTGCCCCGGATATTGGGGATTTTATAGCAGTTGTCCATGTGGAAGAGAGCTCGCTCCATTATCTGAAGTGGAAGGAAAACAAGATAAGAGAAAACAGTACATTCGTTTCATGGCCCCTTCAAAAATGAACTTCAAGGGCTACACCTATCCTATCCTGCTCTACCCGGCCCCACGGTTACTGCACTTCTTCAGGCCCAAAGTCCTGCTTCCCTGGGGCTTTGCAACAGCATCCTCAGGGCACGCTTGGTACTTCCCTTCCCTTCTTCCTCGTTTGATCTGATCGCTGCCAAGGGGCGTGGCCAGGGGCGGTGGGGACTTAAAGAAAATGAGCCCAAGAAGAAAATGTTCTGGAATTCATTGTGCTGAGGATTGCACAAATCTTCTTCATACAATTGAATGCTTAAATGGTATGACATGTGAAGTATATCTCAATAAATATATAATATAACTAACTAAATGTAAGGCAAAAAAAGAGAAGGAGATCATAAAGAATATACGTGGATAAAATTAGAACCAGACAACATAAAGGCAATAAAATTAAAATGGGTTCTCTAAGAAGACAAATAAAATGGATAAACCTGTGAAAAATCAAATCAGAAAAGGTGTGTAGCAGGGTTGTATCCCCTCACCATGCATATCCCATGTGTTTGCTGAGCAAATCATCAGAGAAGCTGGATTAAATGAAGAGGAATGACGCATCAGATTTGGAGGAAGGATTATTAACAACCTGGGATATGCAGATGACACACCTGCTTACTGAAAGTGAGGAGCAATTGAAGCACTTCCTGATGAAGATCAAGGATTGCCGCCTTCAGTAGGGATTACAACTCATTGTAAAGAAAACCAAAATCCTCACAACTGAATCAATAGACAACAACATAATCAATGGAGAGAAGATGGAAGTTAACAAGGATTTATCTTGCTTGGATCCAGAACCAGTGCTCATGCAAGCAGCAGTCGAGAGATCAAATGATGCGTTGCATTAGGGAACTGTGCTGCATAAGATCTCTGTAGAGCGTTGAAATGTGCAGCTGTTACTCTGTGGACTGGGATGAACCTGGCACAAGCCACGGTGTTCTCAATGGCCTAATGTGCAGGTGAAAGTTGGACACTGAATAAGGAAAACCAAAGAAGAATTGCTGTGTTTGAATGCAGGTGCTGGTGAAGAATATTAAAAGCTCCAGGCACTGCCGGAGGACAAACCAATCTGTCTTGATAAAAGCACATCTAGAGTGCTCCTTTGGTCTTTCTTGATAACGTAGAGGGATGGTGACAAAGAGGAAGGCCCTGGACAAGAGGGATCGACACGAGGGCTGCAGCAATGAGCTCAAGCACAGGAACGATTGTGAGGCTGACACAGGAGAGGGCAGGGTTTTGTTCTGTCGTGCATAGGGTCCTATGAGTCAAACATGACTGGAGGTACCTCACAACAACAAGCTATTCCATTTAAGTGGAATGATACAGTATGCTTCCTTTGTATCTGGCTTATTTCACTTAAGGTCATGTTTTCAACACTCATTCATGTTGTGCGAGTATAACGATTGAACTTATCTTTATGACTGAACAGTATTCCACTGTAGATACAAGAGAGTACCTCCCAAAAAGCTGGATGTGATGTGAGGGGGATAATGCATTTGGTGTTCCCTCCACCAGGTCAGACTTTTAATCAGGTTTTCTATTTAGAGGTTCTGAAAAGATTGCGTAACACTGTGTGACAAAGAAGGCCTGACGGTAGAAGGCCTGACTGGTTTTGCCACCATGACAATTCACCTGCTCACGCAGCCATCTCTGTGCACCATTTTTGGCAAAAAACAACAAGCCTCTCTTGACCCAGGTACCTGACTTTGCTCCATGGGACTTCTTTTTGTTTTTGTGAATGAAGAGGAACATTAAAGGACAGTGATTTGACAATGTAAAAGAGATGAAGAAAAAATCAGGGAGACGCTGTCAGCCATCCAAACGGATGAGTTTGAAAAATGTTTCCAAGAATGGAATCGTACATTTGACAAATATATTAAGTGTAATGGAGAGGACTTTGAAGGTGATAAGGTTGTTTTGTAAAAAAGTTTAAATATATAGCTTTGAAAAAAAATAAAATTCTGGTTTATTTCGGGTACCCCCTTGTACTATTCAGTCAACCAAAGAATGATGTATTGATACCTGCTACAACTTGAGTAAGACTTAAGACTATGATGCTAAGTGAAAGAAGCCGGACACAGAAGATTACATTGTATATTCCTTCTATCCATACAAATCACCCACAAAATAAAAGTCTCAAGTAGACCAGGGGATGCCTGTGGCTGGGAGATGGGAGTGGAACTGACCACAAGGGGCACAAAGAGTTTTGGGGGGTGATAAAAATGTGCAAAAATTGGGATGTGATCATGGTTCCACCATTGTTTAAATTTGCTAAAAATCTTTAAGCTATGTACTTCAAACAGATAACTTTCATGGTGAGTAATTATACTTCAGTGAAACTGTCCTTTTTAAAATTAAAAAGATAAGTCGATTTAGTTCATCATTTAAAATTCAAACATTACAGAAATGTGCAATATAGAAAATGATAACGGGCACCCCTTTTCATTCTACTCCACAGCGATCACATTTTGGAGTTTGGTATCTATAGAACAACAGACTTTAGACAGCAGTACATACTTTACATACGGGGAGCCCCCCACAGAGTTCATAGAAACATTGAAAGATAATGGCATTTTCCCACAAACGTTGCCTGCCTGGCAAAAGACCTTGACCAAGAAGGCTGAGCTTCTCATCTGAGAAGTTCTCATTACTAACTTCTCCGCTTCAGAGAGCAACCAAGGATCCCAAAGGCGGAAGCAGTGGGAGGTGACTGCTGCAGACACAAGCAAGCCCTGCGGAGGGGGCGGCTGTGGGGCAATGGAGACTTTGCTCATGTACCAAGTGCACGCTGTAGGGCATGCACTTGACCCCCTAGACACCCTGGGCTGCAGGAGACAGACTCCACTCACACTCTGAGAGAGATCCAGGGTGTTCCCCGCATTGCTGTAGTGATCCACTTCCAACGCCACAATCTTCCCAGTCTTCATGAAGCCAACCTGGCAGAAAGGAGAGTAATTTCTCAACACCCCCCCTGGATGGTCTGCCTCTCATCCTCCACACCCACTTGGGCTAACTACAGGAGACAAAAAGAGGCAAAAATGGCCCTGTGGATTTCATTGTTCAAGAACGTAAGCAGTCACCAGAGCCAAACAGGCGAAGAAGAAAAACACCAAACACCTTCTCTACGCACTGATGAGCCCTCCGCTCTTCCGCTCAGGACACACCTCCCCACCCTCCTCCTTCTGTCTACCTCCTGGTTCTGGTCCAAAGAGAGGGAATTAGACACAGAAATGAGAAGGGAAGGGGAGACGGAGCAGGGAGCGAGGGAGTGGGAAAAACAGGGCAGAAGAGAGCCTCCCCTTGCAGCCATGGTTAGCAGAAGGCAGAAGTCACACTTTGCACGAACCTATGTGTGCTTTCACCTCCCTGGCCCTAGGAACCCACCACCAAGCGTTCATCCCAGTTACAAACGAGGAAACTGCGACCCCGAATGATCCGTGTGCTTTCCTTGGATACACAGAATTGGGGAATAAGAGGAACACCGTCTCTCAGGGAATTAAATCACGAAACAAATTCTGAGTAGGCCCAAGGGGAGAAGTTCAAAGCCAGCTCATGAAGAGACAAGGTTCCCGGGTCCCAGGGCTGGGCTGCGGCCTGCAAGGCCGGGCTGCAGCCTGCAAGTCCAGACTGCTGTGCGGACAGAGGGGCAGGGAAGCGCAGGCACTGGTCATCCATCCAAGCCTTCAAAAGAAGGTCCCAGTGGGCAATTGGAGCCGTGCCCAGAATACACAAGGATCTGGCAACTTAATACCATGCCCATCCATGCCCGGGAGAAGTTGAATTTCTAATGTAAACGACTGTGTGGTCCTTCTGACCTTGACATCTGGCTGTGCATATGCTACCATTGAGACATCCTAAGGGATAGACTTACTCTCATCTGCTGACAGTTACGTTTCGGGGCCTGACTCGACCACAGGAAATTCACAAAAGGCTTGAACCCAGCCTTGTGACATCCCTTGAAAGGGGTGCGCCAGCCTTCCCAGCACCACACCCTGTGTTGTACTCTCGCCAGACTTAAATTTCTCTCACTGCTATTTCTGCCTTGAATTTCTGCAGCTAGAGAGCCAGGCAAAGTGTAAGGGTGCAGCCCAGGATGCCTGGGCCTTTGTCCCCAGGTCCTGCCCACCCTGGCACAGCCCCCCAGTGTCTAGAACCTTGTATCGGGCCAAGAAGGGGTGTCTGCCACCAGTTATCAGCATGTCTTCATCACGGTCCAGCATGCAGCGAACGGGACGGCCAGTCCTAAGGGAAGTTCCCAGAGATTAAACACCCTTGAACCTTCCAGAAAAGCCCAGCCCGGTGGCCTCAAGACATAAATGAGATGGAAGCCTTCTTTGTGCCCCTGGTGCAAGGCTTCGGTGTGTGCTCCCTGTGCTGAACCCAGATGCCATCGAGTCTGTTCTGACTCACAGCGCCCCCGTGTGGGTGTCTACACAGAACTGTGCTCCATAGAGTCAACGGCTCATGCTTCAGAAGTAGGTCACTAGACAGACCAGTCTTCCGAGGAGCCTGTAGGTGGACTAGAACTCCCAACTTTCCCATTAGCAGTGAGGAGGCTATCTGTTGACACCACCCAGAGACTTCCCCTGTGCAGGAGAGCTTTAAAAGCAGTAGGTGGTGCGTATTCAAAGAAGGAACAAACTACTTCCCGAGGGAGGAAATCTAGAGATCTTCCCGGTACAGCTAGTCTTCTTCTGGGGCTGGAGGGCCACGTGGGCTTTGGGACTCACTTGTGTGCAGCGAGGGCCACGGCAGTAGACACCAAGGTGCTCCGAGTCTCCTTCCCACCGAAGCCTCCTCCCATCCTCTTCACTCGGACCACAATGCGGTTCTCCGAAACCCCCAACATTTTTGCCACAAAGCTCTGTGGACAAACGAAAGACACCGTCGTCGAATGCACCATTCAAGTTTATGTCAGGCCGGCGTGCCTGTGGGAATTCTGAAATCCTTTTGATTCTGAAGTGAATCCCCTTCCCCTCCCATCTAACCTTGGGGTCCATGCTGCTGGGGTACTCATCAGTCACTGTGGACTGAACTCATGGTTTGTAACCAGAGGTCCCGGCCACTCGTCACAGCATGTATTCAGAAACAGAACTCATTCCATCTGGCTGAACCACTGGATCAGGAGGAGCGGATTCATTGCCAGAAACCCTGGCAGCTACTGTCATCTTACACTTGGCACAGAAAGGGGGGCTATTGGAGCTGCAGCAGACCACTCGGTGGTCCCTGTGGCGATCAACTCTGATATGACTGGATCGTGCCTCTAGAATGAATACAGCTGATATGGTCCAGGCTCCAGTCCAAGTGTGGGAATTCATCTAATTATTAGAACAACCCTATCAAGCCCCGTTTTAAGAAACAGAGGCGGCAAGGTGCAGTAACAAGTTCAGTGGCGCCAGTTTGGGGTGGCAGAGGTCTATGCCCCCATCCATGATGACACCCTGCTGGAACTGAGCCCTCGCCCACACTGCCACTCCTGGCCTGCAGAGGGCGCCCAGGTTTCCTCCCAGGACCTCACTGACCCACAGGACCTCTACCTGGGTCTTCGTGGTGTTTTGCGTAGACACAAAGAGCTCCATCTCGCCTCCCTCGCCTTTTGGGACAGCAATGGTGCAGTGAGTCTCCAGGTAGAAGTGCTCCTGGCCACCGATGTACAACTCACCTGGGGGGGGGGGGTAAAGAGACACCCACCATGAGCCACAAGTCTGCTGAGGGAAAGAGCAGATTCTGCCAGGTGTGGGGGGCAGGTGCCAACTGCTCTCAGGTGATTTCTTGATTCCATGACTGGGGTGGAATTGTGTGGGGAGGCTCGATCACCTGAAAGCTCAGGATTGTCCCCAACAACCATGGCGACAACCCCAAGAACCATAATTAAAATGCATCAGGGCGTGTCTTCTCACTACAATCCAAGAGGAGAGACACCTTTTAGAACCGTCACTGTGGAATTCTGAAAAAGGTCAAGATGGAAGGAACAGATATGAGTAGCAGGCTGCCGATGAAAGTGACCTCCCCAAGGGACGAGAGCAGGCGTGAGGGAGGGGGACGTCACTGGCGCAAGGCTAGTGCAGTGCAGTGCAGGAGCTGAGCCTGAAGCAACAGAAAACCAAGAAGACATCACTTGCCAGGCAGCAATCTTGTCCCGGGTGAGCGCTAGGGACCTTTTTCCACCATGTCGGAGAAGAAGGGGGAAGGAGGGAAGCTTGTGGGTGGGGCAGCACGAACTGAAAATGAGTAAGGTAAGAGTCTAGGCGTCTGTGTGATAGGAGGCCAGCAGCCCCAGCGCTGGTCAGGCATCAGTGGCCGTACCTGCTCTTTGACTTTCTTCCTGATCAGAATGCATCTAGCACGCTCTCTCTAGCATCAGGTCAGGATAGCCAACTGGGCGGCAGAGGAATGGAGGGAAGAAAGTCTTTCCCAGCCCGCCTGCTGTCTACTAGTGTCTCTGTGTGGGCTCAATTGCCTTCCTCCAAAACCCTATGCTTGTCAATCCTTCCCCTGTGCTAGAATCCCATCTGCAAACAGGGTTTTCTTTGTTATGTTCAGAAGACCCTGCTGGCACCAGGTGTGTTTTAAGCACTCACTTCTGAGAGATAAAAGGAGCAGATTAGCTACAGCAGCAAAAACAGGTCAGGGAAGACAGAGGCCACGCCACGTGAAGACTGCCAAGGACCCAGGGATTGGAAGCTGAAAAGAGACAAGGACTTTCTCCAGGAACCAAAGAGGAAAAAAAAAAAAAAAAACCTTCCCTTAGACCCAGTGCCCAAAATTCATATTTGTAGTCCTAACCTGTGAGAACAAAAATAAATCTCGTTGTTACAGCCATGACCCTGTGGTACATTAAGAAATCGCGTCTCTTCTCCAGGGCTCAAAGTCAATCTTTTGAATTGAATTCTAAACTCAGGACGCTCCACCCCCACTTCCCTCTGCCCCCAGCCCAAGGCTGGCCCCCCCTCCTGCCTCCATGGTGCAGCTATACCTGAAACAACATTATCAGCTTCCGCGAAACCCTTCTTGAGGTCTCCTTTCTCAATCTTCAGCTCAGCTCCGTGAAAGGAGTTGTTCTTGATCGCATCCTAAGAATTAGAAAAGATGTTTCAGTGATTTTTCTCTCGGTCCTGATTGGGGAAAAGAAAGTCGCTGAAAGGTTGCCTCTCTCCCCTCACATAGGAGTCTCTAAGGACATCATAAAAGAACAAACCCAATGCCATCCTGTCGGTTGTGACTTGGTGCAGCTCTAGACACATTTCTGAGGCTGCAAATCTATATGGGAGCAGATAATCTCATCTTTCCCCCATGGGGCAGATGGTGGGCTTGAACTACCAGCTTCTGGTTAGCAGCCCAGTGCCTATCCAGCCGTACCACTGGGCTCTATTAGCCTCAGATACAGGATTAAAGTAAGTCCTCTTGTATTCCAGGAAATCTTATTCTTCTATTTCCTAAAAATCAGACAAACTTGGATGTTTGAGAAAAAGCAAAGAACTCTGTAGGGAGCCAACTGAAGCTGAAATTTAGGGAGCAAGGATCCAGTTTGGCCATCAGAGGAATGAGCCGAAGATCACAACGCAGAATGTTCAGCAGAACCACAGAATTCCAGTGCCGGAATGAATTTTAAAGCTGATCTATCAAGTCCCCAGTTGCTGCCCAAATCTTCTTTAGAAAACAGCCAACCAGCTGCGATCGAGTTAATTCTGATTCGTGGTAACCCCATGTATGTCCAAGTAAAGCTACAGGCTTTCCAATTGCTGATTTTTCAGAAGTAGATCATCCAGGCTTTTTCCAAGAAACCAGCCGGTGGACTAGAACCCCTAACCTTTTGGGTAGCATGTGCATCCATATATAGGGAGCCCACTATGCTGCACAGACAGCCACTCGCAGTTACCTTGATGGTGATAATGGCTGGAAGTTCTTCGTAGGTGATTTTCACTCCTTGAGCAGCTCTCTGTGCATGCTCTGGGGTGTCGGTGACCACAGCTCCAATGATGTGCCCAATACAAGTGACCTAGTTACAGAACCAGATGATTAAAAACATAACCAAGTTCCTTTTAAAGCAAACTGTTTCTGAATTGCTCTGAAAGACAGCAAAAGTCCCTGCTCCACAATCGCCTATTAAGATACACTTTAAGAGTGCCTAGAGGTTGTTTGGCATTCTTACACTATCAATATCTATGGAAACTTATACCTCATCATAAACATTTAGAATCTATAGAACTAGTACAGGAACTAGATGACAAACAAGATTTAAGGGACAATTCTGATTATTTAATACTGGCAGCCACTTAATGAGCTTGACTAGAGCTGAGATCTGGTGATTGATTAGTGATGTCTGCATGATCAGACGTGAGGAATGGCAATATCAAGAGCTATTTGTCAACTTGAATCTAGTCTAACCCTCTTGTTCTTCAGATGAAAAGACCCAGATACAGAAAGCAAAGTCACACTTGATCTTAGGTCCCAACTCCCAGTTTTATTTTATCTTTACCATTCCTTCTCTTTTATGTCCTATTCCTCAACTTTGCACTCAAAGATGCTCAAAGGCAGCGGTCATGACTGCTGTTGTTAGTTGCTGTCACGTCCATTCTGACCCATAGCGACCTTCTGCACAACAGAGAAAAATCACTGCCTGGTTGTGTGCCATCCTCACAATCGTTCCTGTGCCTGAACCCACTGTTGCGACTACTGTGTCAATCCATCTCATTGAGGGCCTTCCTCTTTTTCGCTACCCCTCCACTTGACCAAGCATGATGTCCTTCTTCGGGCACTGGTTTCTCCTGTCAGGATATCCAGAGTATTTAAGACAAAGCCTTGTCACCCTTGCCTCTAAAGAGCACTCTGGCTGTACTTCTTCCAGGACAGGTTGGTTTGTCCTTCTAGCAGTACTTTCAATCGTCTTTGCCAGCCCGACAACTCAAATGCATTGATTCTTCTTCAGTCTTACTTATTCAATATCCAACTTCCATGTGTAGCTGAGGCCATTGAAAATGCCAGGGCTTGGGTCAGGCATATATACTGTAGTCTTCAAAGTAATAACCTTGCTTTTCAGTACTGTAAAAAAGTCTTGGGCAGCAGATTTACCTAATGCAACTCATCTTTTGATCTCATGACTGCTGCTTCCCTGAACATTGTTTTTGGTAGTTCTCAAATGCTGCTTCTTAAGCCTGAATCTCCAAACAAACTTTTCTCTAGATTTTACAATATTATTTTTAATTATCCACTACCCCAAAAATCTTAATGGCTCTCCTTCAGAGATAAGCTTTCTCCAATATACCCAAATAAACAACATTATTTTTGCCCAAATCATATCTGTATAATTTGAGGTTCGTGGCAATAGGAAAAGTACCCCATAAACAGCTGTCTGACAAATCCCTCTGGAGGGTCCGATTAAGGTATTGACTAAATTGGATAGTGAAATGGTTCTTGAACCGGGATGGTTCTCGCTAACTAAAGTGCAAGCAATATGCTCAGGGGCTTTTCAAGCTTGTTGTAACCGCTGCTCCTCTGTCGAGTGCTCTTTTTCTCGAGTCCTTGTGGCTCTTGCTGATAGCTTTTGGGCCTGTCTTTTCATTTTAATGATAAAGTGAGTTTGCCCTAAACCAGTAACACTACCCCTGTGAGTTTCCAAGACTGGTACTCTTTCTAAGGTGACCAGACATCCCGCTTTTGGTGGGACAGTCCCGATTTTTGACAATTTTTCCCGCATCCCGTGGCATTTTTTAAAAGTCCCGATTTTTGGAAAGAATGCACGACAAGCTAGGGTATACAGTTTTCGGCTGCCATGTGGCTATTTTGCCAGGATATGAGTTTTATCAATGGTGTCCCGCTTTACCAATGTTAAAATCTGGTCACCTCCAGTGGTGTGAGTGGCAAAACAGGGAGGGTAAAGGGAGAATGGGTAGGAAAGAGGGAACCGATTACAAGGAACTGTGTGTGACCTCCTCCCTGGGGGACAGACAACCGAAAAGTGGATGAAGGGAGACGTTGGACAGGGCAAGATATGACAAAATACCCATTTATAAACTATCAAGGGCTCATGCGGGAGCGGGGAGCGGGGAGGGAGGGGAAAAATGAGGACCTAATGTCGGGGGTTTAAATGGAGAGAAAATGTTTTGAGAAACGATGTACAAATGCGCTTTACACAATTGATGTGTGTATGGATTGGGATAACAGTTGTGTGAGCCCCTAATAAAATGTTAAAAAAAAAAAAAAGAAATGTTTTGGAAGTGATTGGGGTAGTGATTGACATGATTGGACTATGGAAAGGTAGAATGTCTGGATTAGCTCCAAATAAAATGGTTTGAGTGGGGGGAAATAATTTTTAAAAAGGAATTTATTGCATTGGGCAAATCTGCTGCAAAAGACTTCTTTAAAGTGTTAAAGAGCAAATATCTCAGTTTGAGGAATAAGATATACCTGACCCAAGCCATTCATTTACAATCGCCTCTGAAAGTTGTAGAAGGAATTAGGAAAACAGTAAGAAACGGTACATTTAAACTGTAGCATTAGTGAAGAATATTAAATACACCATGGACAGTCAGAAGGACAAACAATCTGTCTTGGAAGAAGTACAGTTGAAATGCTATTTAGAGACCAGGATGGCGAGAATTTGCCGCACGTACTTTGGACATGTGACCAGGAGACACCAGTTCCTGGAGGAGGGCATCCTCGTGGGTAAAGGAGACCCTCACAGAGCAAGATTGACACCGTGGCTGCAACAGTGAACTCAGACACAACTGTGAAGATGGCCCGGGACACAGCGGTGTTGCCTTCTGTTGTCCGTGGGATTGCTATGAGTCGGGCCTACTTGACGGTACTTCAACAACACCCACCCCTAACTTGTAACATTTGATCTGTGTTAGAATTAAGAAGTGACTGTCTGAAAGCTGCCCTATGAGTACAGTATATGGACTTTTGTAACAGTTTTCCCGAGTGTTTAGAAACTTGGGATTGAGCAGAATTCTACAGTGTTGAGATCAGTTGATAAATGTTCATATAAGTGAAATATCAATACACGTAGAGGTAATATGATTTCTTGTATGCTTCGGTTGTTTAATGTCCTCCTACTTTTTTTCTTTTTTAGTAAAAGGGTTTCATGTACCTGTAAGGATCAGAGGGTAACTACAAGTACAATCACTAGCCTTTTCAAAGGCATGTCGTATGTTAGTAGGTAGTATTTTCAGCATGTGAAAATAGCAGTTATCAATTAAATAAATAAGCAAACATTAAGTTACAGCTGAAAGCATCATCCCTTTATTACTTGTCTTTTATATTGGCCAGTTGGATGATGACTGTGATATATGAAAATGCAAAATGAGCAAAGTTTAAAACTTAAAGACTCATTCCACATCCTTCATATGGAGGAAATCTAAGCCAGGACATACCTTATCTGTGGCAAAGACTGTTTCATCATCAAAAAGTCCAGTTATGTTACTCCCAGGAATATCATCAGCGGAGAGGAAGCAAACAAAGCCAGGGACCTTCTGAGCTTCTGAAGTATCTATGGACCTGCGAGAAAGAGTAATGTGCGGGACCAGGTTCTAAAATAAAGCAGAGCACTTGTTGCCTGATGGAGTAATGGTCTTCATTTTGATAGCCTTCCCTCCGCCCTGACTTCTCTTATCAACTCTTCCTAATCAATCCCATTGGATTCCACTCTGTCCTCTGTGTACATGCTGAGTAAGTAAATGTTTGCTGGGTGCAGCACGCTGCATTGAATGTGACAAGGGAAGACGTAAGACAACAAGGCAGGCCAACCCCTCTGGAGCTTGTCCTCTTCTCGAAGTAAAAGGGACTGAATTCTAGTGAGCAGCATTGGCTGGAGAGTTCCAGCCACCACGGCCCTCAACTAACTCCCACTGGACATCAGCATATTGGGTCTCTCAGCGTATCACAGGTCCAATGGACTTGAGCTTCGCACGGTCAGATTTCTCATAGACATTAATGGTACCCTGCCAGCACAGCAGGGCATCTCAGACATAATTAGGCAGAGTGGGGATCCTGGAAGAGGTTAACAAATTAGAAGTCTGAACTATGTCTCTGTGACTAAAACCGGTGCCAGGGACACTGCTATGAAGTACCAACCACCTTCCAAACAGTTCAGTCCTCACAAGAACCCCCAAAAGCCATTGTCGCTATCCCCACTTTACAGTTAGGGAACTGAAGCACAAGGAAGTTGGTTGGATCACTGGTCCCGAGGCATCTGGGCAGGAAGCAGCAGGAGCGGCATCAGACTTGAGGTAAGCTACCAGGCGAACCCATGGGCTGTGCACACGGTTCACATGCTCAACTGCTACCCGAGAGTCCAAGTCCACTCAGAGGCACTGAGAAGAAAGGCCTGGAGGCCCACTTCAGAAGAACCAGGCAGGGAAAATCCTAGCGAGCACAGTTCTGCTCTGACACACGGGGTCACCGCAAGTCAGAATCGACTCTGCGCAGAAAGTGCTGGAAGACGTAGGAAGACCCACAGAGTGAGTGCCATTTCCACTCAACTGCCCTTCTGGGGTATGCAGTGATTACAATGTCTGCCCATCCTCGGACATCTTTCGCTCAGACATTGCTTGGATGATGCAAAGGGGTTCAAGTGTAGAACCAAGTCAGCCATGATTCCCCCAGTAGGTCAAGATGGGCTGTGGTCAAAAGCAGAGCCAATGAATTTCACCATGACCTTGACAATCCTAGCCACAGAAGGGTACATCTCAGCCACCGCCCCCCAGAGGTCTGGAGGAGTTTTATCTGGATGTGAAGTTTATTTACATCCGGTTCACCATTGAGGGGGCCTATGTTCAGGCCCATATCAGCAGGCAGAGGAAAGACCCACAATCTGATTTCTAATGTGTGCAGTTGCAAAGACCCGAGGGAGGCATTTCCAAGATGTTCCATCTAGTGGGCTAAGTGTCTCTCAAGGAATGGGGGTGTGTGGGGGGAATATAGCTCACTGACCTCAGGCCTGAGCATCGAGAGGCAGCACAGCCCAGTCGCTGATTGTTTGACTCCCACACCAGCTCTGCCCCTTACGGGTGGTGCGAACCCAGGGCAAGTGATTTATTTTCCTGCACCTCAGTTTCCCCAAGTGGAATGTGAGGAGAGCAGTAAGGTGGTTATGCGGAATAAGCGAGCCACTCTAGACAAAATGCTTTAAATCAACCTAACACCCAAACTCACCATCTTCAAGTTGATTCTGACTCATGGGGACCTGATATGGGGCTTCCAAGACTGTCGCTCTTCCAGGGAGCTAGCAGCCTCGGTCGCTCTCCAACAGAGGGACTCGCTGCCCTGGCAGGCACCGACCCAGCACCACAAGGCTATGGCAAATGCCAAGTGTGAGGGATTATTATTATTTTCGAAAAGCACTGAGCTGGTACCCACCCAGCAGCTCCATGGGAGAAAGGCCTGGCAGTCAGATCCCGAGAAGAGCGACAGCCAGGAACACCCTTTGGGATCATTCCACACTGGCACATGGCAGGTCACCAGGGACTGAAATCCCCTCTGGCAGTACCCAACGATAGCAGAGGCCGCAATTCACGGCACTCAGGCTCACCAAGGGCAGCGATCGCAATCCAAGTGTCTGTTCTGTTAGGTGCTCTGCACACTCTCCTGCTAATCAGAGCAGCACCCAAGTACAGATGGGGAAATTTGAGAGATGGACCACATAGACCAAGTCCGCGGTTATTAAGCACTGGAACAAGGATTTGATCCCCAGTCTGTCCCGATGGAAGACCATGTTCCCGCCTTTAGTCTGACTCAAATTCTCCTGAACTTTTGGCATTTCCCTACAGCCCGCTACCCACAATGCAAGTCTAGCTTTGTTCTGCTTGCTGTCTTTCAGGGACTCCTTACAGCTTTGGGGAGCAAGCATAACCCTCCTGTTTGGTGCATCAGGTCTGTCCTAAAATCGCCCCCTTCCTCACTCTCCAATTCCACCCCCTCCAATCTCCCTGGAGCAGGCTTCCCACTCGGCACCATGGAGGCCCTAATTCCCCCTGCCCCTCTCCCAACTGATGCTCAAAGATGGTTGCCCTGTCTTCTTTCCGAGACACCACACCGGAGGAGTTTGGTGCTTTCTACCTTGACTACCTGACTAGGAGGACAATGTCCTTAAGGTGGTCCCAGCACCCTCCTCCCCTTTCTCCACTCACTTGATCTTAGCGTGGGCCTTGGTGCTGGTGACCAGCCGGAGAGAGAGCTCGTTTTCATAGTGAGGGATGTCATCACAGTACACCGCCTCCCCAGAGGCTTGCATGGTGGCAGCAAGGTGAGGCAGGGGCCGGCCCACCATGTCCTCCGCACTCTGACCCTTGGGCACCTCCTGGAACAACATGACAATGTGGTCAGCAGTCAATCGGAGCTGTAGAGGACACGACTCCCCTAGTGGCCCCAGGGGGGCTGTGGAGAGCTGCTAGCCAGGTGGCAAAGCAAACCTGAGCAGGAAGAATGGAGAAGGAAAGAGGGGCACAGAGTGGAACCAAATGGAAAACCACACAAGAAGTAACTGCTTAAGGTGATCATAAGATCATTGTGAAAAAAGGGACAAACCAAAGGGGGGGGTGACCTAAGTGTCAGCCAGCTGTGGGCTGTGCATATAAATTTTGTTATACTCATACGATGGCATCGTAAAATGAAAAAGCCAACCTCCCTGCCATTGAGTTAATTCCCATTCACAGTGACCGTATAGGACAGGGTGGAACTGCCCCCATAGGTTTCTGAGACTGTAGCTCTTTACAGGAGTAGAAAGCCTCATCTTTCTCCCAAGGAGCTGCTGGTGGTTTCAAACTGCTGACCTGGTAGCTACAGCCCAACATGCAGCCACTACACCCTCCAGGGCTCCAGGGAATGGCCTAAATGCCAACCATTAAAACTCAATTTTAAAGGAATTGTAATTAAAAGGAAAGAATGGTCGTGATGAGTGTAAAAATGGGGTACAAAATAGCATGCAAGTTTATATGATTATAGTGCTGTAGATAAACAACCTATATTATATAGATAATATGTTTATACACACATAGGAAAAAATTGAAAAAAGTAAGCAAAGATACATTCATGATTTTGTGTGATCTTTGTTTTCCTCTTTACACTTTCCTGCATCTTCTAAAACTTTTACAAAATATATTAACCTTATGATAAAAAGTCTTTAAAAAAAGTGTTTGGGTGGCTTGTGAAAGCAATAATATTCATAGTGCTATCGTTTATTGAATGTTTCCTGTAGTGCCATTGATTTGATGGTCCTCTTCTTCATTGAATATTCCACCACACAGGATAAAGAGCGTGATGTGCCTGTGTGCTAGCCAAGTTGATCCTTAACCAATGGCCAGCATCCCAGGCTTCCAGGAAAATGTGGCCTGAAAAGGGCCCTGGAATTAGCCACACTGTCGGATACTCACTTGGAAGAGCTGGACATTGGCCGGAGGGTCTTTCTGAAAGAGTAGAGTGGCGCTGGTGAAGGTGGGGTCCAGTTGGCTGCACTTCTGTGGAGGCAAAACGGCAGAGGTGGCCATGGCCACATTTCATGAACAGTTCGTTCCATGGTCATCCCCAAGTGACAAAAGTGACAATGGTTCCTCTCATCTCCTCACTCTATACATCTTCACAGACTAGCTGGATCTGAGAGCTAAGCTTTTAATCAACACCTTCAGCTTCAACCACCCCTTCAGAACCCTCCATAAGGAATGACTCTTCAACAAGCCCAATTGCTTCTCTCTTTCTCTCCTAAAGGTTTGAATGCCTCCGTCTCCTTTGGGAATGTCCTTCTCCCACAGCCTCCCTAGGAAAATCTCCCTTTCCCTCTTCAATTCTGCAAGAGATATTAAACACCTGGGAAATATTCACAATGAAATAGGAGCTCTACATGCAGCACGGAGTCTCTGAGAGGTACAAACAGTTAACACATTGAGCTGTTAACCCGAAGGTCAGAGGTTCCATTCCATGCAGAGGCACCCCACCAGGAAGCCTGGCCATCCACTTCTGAAGATGTCATGGGGTGCAATTCTACTCTAACACAGGTGGGTCGCCATGAGTTGGGAGCCACTTGAAGACTACTGGTTTCTTTTTTTTTTTTTTTTACGTGCGGCTGAACCCCAAACCTGCTTAGATATTGATATGTCCAGATCAATCTATAGGAAGACGATAGGTGATGGATGGGAGAACACATAGAGAGGGAGTGAGCAAACAGGACAACAGACAGGTGGACAGCAGGTAGATGTGGAAAGTGGATTTAGAACACTAAAACCAACATGGAACATTTCCACTGGCCAGAGAGATCAGATTTTCTACCTGTCACCATCAACCTCTCTCAGGGCAGTGAGCGGGGGCTTCCCTTGCCTCAGCACAAGGACTAGGAGCCCGTCTGCATGCGGAAGGATTCAGTGTGACGGTTTAGTACCCAGAGTCACAACAATAAGAAAAGGTGTTCAGGAATAATTTCAACTACTTTCTCAGTCAGCAAAGCAATCATGAATGGATTCCTATTTTATTCCCCCAAGAAGAAAAAAAGAACTGTTGGTGCCGGTTCCCTTTAGGAACTAAAAGTAGGGGTGATTTCTAATTTTTTGTTTATACAACTATTTCTTTTTCAAGTTTGCCAAAATAAACTCTTAAAACTTTTATAATCAGATGGGGGCAAAGGGGATGATGATGACCTTTAAAGAAAGGGTTTAGCTTTCCTGCCCCAGCCCTGGTGGCCTGGTAGCTGTGTGTTGCGCTGCTAACCACAGGCCAACAGTTCAAAACCACCAGCTGCTCTGTGGGAGAAAGATGAGGCTGTCCTATCGGGTCACTGTGAGTCGGCATTGATTCGATGGCAGGTAGTGTGTCCCCAGTGTCTTGTCCCCAGCACTCGATAGCTGGGAGTGAGTGCTCCCTCCACCTACATCTTCTCATCTGTCATGCTAAAAATAACCAAACCCACTGCCATCCAATTAATTTCAACTTTTAGCAACGCCCCAGACTAACAGAAAAGGACCATCCTATAGGGTTGCTGTAGCAGTTACATAATAGGTTGTCAGTTTGAGACTTAGAGTGAGGGGGTGGCACTTAGCCTGTCAATCAGGTCGCAGCTTAATGAACTCATTTGGAGGCGCTAAAGAGATAAATAGCTCACTGGAAGTGGGACACATACTCACTTACTCACTCGCTCCCTGGGAGACATTGCAGCTGACAAGACACATGGAGCTACGCTAGTGCCCTGAGCTGGAGGAGTCACATGGAGACCCCTGCCAGTGCTGAGATGCTCACACTGTCACTGGACCCACAAGATTTCCCCCCACTGGCCTGTGTTCTTCCTGCATCCAGCATCATTGCATGTGTTGTGTGAGTCTGAAGAGGACTGTATAGATTGATATCAGACATAGGGGCTAATATCGGGCTTATGGACTTGATCTGGACTGGGTGGGATCTGGACTGCTCTTCTTTCGTATACACAGATGAGTGTCTATGAATTTGTTTCTCTAGTCTACCCAGACTCACACAGTGTCTGAGGCGATAACTCTTTATGGCAGCAGATTGTCACATCCCTCTCCTGCAGAGCCCCTGATGGGTTCCACCCACTGGTTATCAACTGAGAACTTTAACCACAGCACCACCAGGTCTCTTTCCCTGCCACACGAAACCAAGAGCCCGCAATTGATACCAACTTACGTCTACCCTGTGTGTAAATAAATAGCACTCCAAACACATGCATCCTGTCAATCTTGACTGACAGTTATTCCATAGGGCATTATAAAACTCTCAGCGGGATTTCTCAGGCTGTACCTCTTTACAAGAGGAAATAGTCTCATCTTTCTCTGAAGAGAGACTCAACAAAACAAACTCACAGCCATCAAGGCATTGTTGGCTCATAGCAACCCCCTGTGGGTTTCCTCGACTGTCACTGTGGATGGGACCAGAAAGCCTTGTCTTTCTCCCAAGGAGCTGCTGGTGGTTTCCAACTGCCAACCAGGTGGCTCGCAGGCCAGTGAGAAACCAGCACACCGCTCCCTCTGCAGAGAGGCTGGTGGGATTGAATGGCTGACCTTATGGTTAGTAACCCAACATGTAACCTGCGAGGCCACCAAACTTCTGATGATAAAGTCAGTCTGACTCATGCAGTTCCCTGAGTGTCACGGCAGAACTGGGCTCCCAACAGTTCTTAATGGATGCTTTCCTCACAAAGAGATCTCTAGCTCTTTCTCCGGAGGTCTCTATGGGTGCACTTGAACTTCCGATTTGGAGGTTGGCAGGGAGTGTTAACCATCTGTGTACTCTGAGCTGACAATAGGCACTATCAAAGGCAAGTAGCTAGCTGGCTCCACCCCTCCCAGCGGCCTCTCTTGAATGCACACCCCTGCAGGGACCACATAACCTCCGGGCTGTAGCAGCCGGAAGTCCCCATCACACTCTGTCTGCATGCCCACTTTAAGCTGCAGGAGCTGCACTCGTAAAAGGGCTCTTAGAGAACAGCTGGTCTCCAGCCGCCTTGTGGATGACAGCCGAGACCATCCAAGTTCCCATGACAAAGCCAGTCAGGACACAGCAAGGATGCACCTCCTGACTCCCAGCCCAGCGCTGAACCTCTCCACTGTCCAGTCGACTCCCATCTCAGGTGACTCTCTGGCTGTGCCCTGGGTCTCTGCTCTCCTGTGCTGAGGTTTTCAGGGGACATAAGCTAGTCTCCTACCTAGATCAGCCAGCCCAGCTTCCCAAATCCCCATATGAGAATGCTGCAGAGACTCTGGGCCTGCCTCCACCGCCTCACTCACGTCTCCCAAGTCCTCTTTGCCCAGCTTCTGGAGCACTGTCAGGTAGAACTTGAAGAAGAAGCTGAGGGTAAGGGTGCGCCGGAACTCCACCATGCCCCCAGGGGCGTCAGGCGAGAGGTGCAGCTCTTCTGCCAGGCCTGCACACACATCTTGTAGTAGCTCCTCATTCCACAACCTGCCAGAGAGGAGGCACTATAGACCCACGCACGCACACACGTACACGCTTCCCCACCCCCAGAAGCCATTTTCTGTGGAGCGTGGTGTGCCAGGCCTCGTAGTCATACCAAACTCCCTCCACTCAAAAGGTCCGACTCACACACTTCTCGGTACGTGGCTTTAGGCAAGTTGCTTAATTTCCTTGCCACTCACACTGCTCCACTTTAAAAGCAGAGGCAATGAAAAAGACCACACAATAATAATAGTTACAATATGTTAGGCAATGTCTTAGGTCCCATTTGCGAAGCACCCCTTTGGGTTTAAATTAAAGTGAGTGGATACTCTTCTTATATCCATTTTCCCAGTGGAAAAATACTGAGGCACGTGGGATTCAGTCACTGGATTAATGCTGCCCATCTGGTGTTGGATCCAAAATTGGATGCAAGAAGCTAACCTCCAAACTTAAGCTTTGTCTATCCGAAATCATTCTCATAAGAATTGCATAGGATAGTTTATACCAGTTAGGTAGTTGGTGCAATGCCCAGTTTAAAATAAAAGTAGTAACAGTAAAACTCAGAGTGACAAACGTAGTAACGGTAGTGGGAGCGACATTAATCGTAGCATTATTAACAGTAGCAGGATCAATAATATTACTCGGATAACACTTGTAGCAGCAATGACAGTAATGCTCCTGGAGTTAACGATCGGAATCGTAGTTGTCAACACAGCAGCAGCAGTGGTGGTGGTGGTGGTAGCCATGCCACTGGCAGCAACACAGTAGCAGCAGTTTTGTCTTGTTGTTAGCGCTTACTTTGATAGCTGCTTCCGTGCCGTCTTAAGGGCTGAGATGGTTCTGTCAGCCATCCCACCATAACAAATGGCCAGTTCCTTCACCTCTAAGGTTCCTGGATTAAATAGAACTCTCATGCCGCTGGTCACCTTGGCAATGTCATCCTCTCTCCGAGAGCCCTGCTTGAATGCAGATAAAAACTCGCCCTGGAACAAGAACAAAAACAGAATGCTGCCTCTGTTTCCCTCCATGTGGAAGCACTGCCCATGTGCACCTGAACGGCTGAGCTGCCATGGGAGGCGAGGAGAACAGCATTTCAGATCAGTGGGCAGCTGGTATTTGAAACCAGAGAGTGAGGAACTTCCAGATAAACATGCTCAGAAGCTGGGAACAGGACAGGATTTCCCCCTATTAGTCAGGCCAGCTAAAGGTCAGGGCCAAAGCAGACCTCAGTGCTCTCAACTCAGCCAGTGGCAAAGAGAGAAAACCCCTCTTTGGAGCTCCCTGGGCCCCCTCCTCCTCCTGTTGCCCAGCATCAGGTCTGCACTGCCGATCTCTCTCGGTCTCACTGCAGAGACCATCCGATGCCGAAGGATGTTGGAAACACGCCCTTGGCTAGTGGCCTTGTTCCCTTGTGCTCTCCCCAAACCTGTCCCGTCTGCCAGGCTGTTGACAACATTTAGAAATCTTGCTTCCTGAAAGAAAGCATCATCATTCAAAACAATAGCCACCTTTGTGTTCTGAGCATGCTTTACACACCAGGATGGGGGTGGGGAGCAAACAGGGGAAGGAGTGGGGGGGTGAACCTGTGTGTGCGCGCGCGTATTGTTCTCCAGATAAGAATCATTTTCCACTTCACGTCTTTCTGAAGTCAGATACTCTTAAGGTCAGAACGCACCCTGGCAGGGAAAATTCTGGTTATAGTCAAAGGGACAGAAGTTTAAGGAAAGAAAAGCTATCAAAAATCGATCAGGAGGAGGCCCAAAGGTTAGGTCTCGGAATGGCCTCGGGCACTTCCTAGAGGAAGTCCTTGAGCTGCTCGGATCCTCCTGGAGAGACAGTAGCCAGTTCAGATTCCTGGGTGTCAAGAGTGGCCTGAGGCGGCGAGTCCAGAATTTGGACTTGGTTCGGGAACAGACCTTTCCAGAAGTTCCCTCCAGGAGCTGTGCCAATCCATGGCCGTGTTCCATTGGGTGTCATGAAGTGCCAATGTCAAGTGGCCAGCCGTGCTTTCTGCAGAGTCTTCTGACTTCTGGGTAAGGGCCCGGTGGGCACAATTCGCTCACACACTGGGCCGCTAATCTGGAGGTCGGAGCCCACCCAGAGGCACCTTGAGAGGAAGGCTGAGGGATGTACTTCTGAAAGATCACCCACTGAAAACACGATGGGCCCAGTTCCGTTCTGACGCATGCGCGCGCGGTCACCAAGAGTCAGGATCATCGTGCCGCAGAGTGGACGCAACCCCTGTCTTGGTTTCTTTTTGATCTTTTTCCGAAATCGTGGCGACATTGGAGGGGCACGTTTTGTTTGGGACTGCCCTTTCCTGGCTGAATGAAAACAGAACCCTGCTACGCCCCTTTCTTCCCCCGCTCCTGTCTCTGATGTTACTGATCTTCGAAATCCAGCACTCCGAGATTCACTGCTCTCAAAAGCCCATGAGGACCAACTAGAGAAGCATTAAGAAACCACCTTGGGGATATAATACTCTGATTTAATTAGCATTCTCTTTAAAGAGGTCAGAATTAGAAAGGGCAAGGCTTAGCTTGTCACACTCGCTAACACGTTCGCTGTGGTAAATTCTGGAACCTTGCATTTGACTCCTTTAGAATGGGGTCCCCACTCTTTCGCAGATTCCCTCGTCTCTAAAGGTCCATCCTGGGAACCGGGTCATAAGCTGCGGACAGAGGAGGCACACCAGGCCACACCACCACAAAGTGGTTTTGAGTTGACCCTCCTGGGATACGTTCGAAACTTAAGAGGCTTCTGACCTGAGGAGAGTGTAAAGTGAAATTATTCTTAACTGGAAAAATAATTCGCCCTCCCTCACCACACACTCCCAAAGCCAGGCAGCCTAAGGCACACGGGTAAGGCAGTCAGACGTGTCCAGGCCTGCCCCAACGGGCCAGAAAATCTGCTACTGAGGCAGAAATCCAACAGTGCCAGCCCAGAGCAAGACCCGGATAATGCCTCCTGAATAAGGGCCTGACTCACAGAGAGCCTCTCCTCTTAACACATCAGCCCTGCGCTCTTTGCCACAGGAAAACCAGCTCTTCTGACATGGAGACTCAGAGACGTGGCCACTGAAAGGCTCATGGGATTGTGTTGCTGACTGCCAGCTGGTGATCTCCGCTGGCTTCCAGGCATGCGCCGGGAACCTTGAACTGGCTGGTTTGGTGTCACGGTGACCACGTGGCAGCGAAGTAGAGAAGCCGGGGTTCGAAAAAGTGACGTGATGGCTCAGGATCACACAACTACTGCCCAGTTTCTTAGTCCCTGCCCTCTGTGTCCTGCCTCCCTGTTCATCGAGAAATACGGTGGGGACACAATCCCAAGAGGGTGACGTTGGTCCCTGAGGCAGACACTCCACCATGGCCAAGGGCCACGTAGATTCAGGCCCGGTCCTGACGACATCTCACCTCTCTGCTGAAGGGGATCTCGATGGAAAGCAGTATCTCGTCTGGACTCAGCAGGGTTTTCCTGTAGCCCGGGAAGAAGGTGTGGTCCATCCGAACCGTCCTTTTGGTGCCTGTATACAGAGAGAGGAAAGGCTTGACCATGTGGGAAGCGCAGGAAACCCCACTGGTGGGGTTCCTCAAGCTGGCCTCTGGTGTCCACAGTCAGCAACTGACACCAGGGGGGCCAGCCAAGTCCAGCGAGCCATGGGTGCTGGTCAGCATTGTACAGCTGGTTCTTTGAAAGAAGAAGAAAAGAAAAACCCTTGACTTATCACCTGGGCCATTTCCTGTGGTGTAAATCCTCCTGCCATGGCCAATTTCAAACACCTAAGGGACCTCACTGAATGGCAAAGTGGAAAGAACATAGAAAATGGGTAACACAACAGGCCTGAGTGTTATCCGTTGATCGACCTGCTTGCCAGTCTGTGCCTTGACTGGAGGCTGGGAACTTTCCCTTTGAGTGAGTTCCCAGTATTCCCAGAAGGAACACCCGAGGCTCGCTGCGCGCACCCCCCACACACACACACACACTGTGGAGACAGTGTTGCTTATGCTGAACAATGGCTTTCCTTCTGGGAATCTGGCATTTCTGTCCAGGCCACGCAGCCGAGGCGGGCAGCCCCCATAAAAACCATGAGCTCAGTCTCTAGGGAGCTTCTCTGATGGAAAAATGCCACACATGCTGCCATAGCTTGTTGCTGGGAAACAAATGTGCATCCATGGGGAGAGGACTCGGGAGGCTGGTGCCTGGATTCATGCGCTTTCCCCCTTGGTTGGTTTTGCTCCGTGCATTTTCTCTGTCAGGAATCACAGTCCTGCGCGGGCAGGTAGGTATGCTGAGGTTAGTGAGACCTCCTGCTGGATTTGTCACCAAACCTGGAGGTGGTTTGCGGGAACCTCCAAGCCCAGACAAGAGGTACAGCTTTTTAGAAATACACTTAAAAACATAACGCATCCATTAGTCCACAGACACAGGTCATTTCATTTTTAAGAACGGCTGTGTTTAGCATCCAGCTCGCAGAACTCCTGAAAGACCCAGGGCTCGACTCCCGTGAGGCAGCACGAGGCACAGCATCAGGTGGCAGAAGCCATTGTGGGTTCTGATGCAGCAGGATGGCCCGGCTCCGCTGCATTCCCCACATCAGCCCCACGGATGGAAGCCTGAGGATCATTGGGCCATTGAACTTGGGCTGTATTTCTCCAGCAAATAACCCATCACATGGGCTTTTCTCTCCCAAGTCCCTCTTCCTGACATCAGGCAACTCACCGAGGGACGCGAGGGTCAGTCTGGCCCCACTGGCCATGAGCACAGGGTTGAGGTCGGAGATGGGGCTGGCGTTGATGATATTTCCTCCAATGGACTAGGACAAAAACAGGACATGATGTGAGAGCCCACCCCGGGAGAGCCTCGACCACACCGCTTGCTCCTGAACTCAGACACGTGGGTGACACCCGCTGGGGGAAAGCCCCAGGACCCGCAGTCCGGTGGGCACATAGCGGCACGGGAAGATCTTGGGCACCCAGGAAATAAATGGACCACACTGGAAATCAGAAATTTAGGAATGAAACCTCAGCTCCCCAATTTACCAGTCGGCACAGGGCAACCAGCCCCTTAAGCAAAGGTATTCATTTACTTATTCCATTTCACCTGAGCTTTTTCTCCAGAGGCCTTGTATCCCAGGGGTCCCAGAGAGTTGGTAAAATGGAAACGGAGATAAAGATCAAGGGAACGAGGAGGAAGGCTTCAGAGAGAACAATCTGCTCTATTGGGATCAGAACTTTCTGGGAACTTGACAAACAGAAGTGTCACAGGAATCAGATAGAGGGTTCTCGTGATCTAAAAGCAGGAAGAAAAACCACGAAACAAAGCCATTCGTGGAAGCAGATTGTAGTAGAACTGGGGAGCTGGGTTGATGTTTCCTCATCTATAATCAGAAGCGGTGGGTGCTTGGGGCCGGAAGGAGGAAGTGAGAGTGGACACCGCCCCACCGCTCAATATTAATAAAATAATACAAGGACAGAAGGGAAGGGTAGCTCTCCTCCAGACATCCAGGTGTGTGAGGCTACAAATGCCACGTGACGACCACGTGTCAGTGGAGAACTGGGGGATTAATCTGAAGCTAATTGTGAGCCCAGTGATCCAGAGGTGGAAGTGTCCCTCCCTCCTCCCACGAGGCTCCACTTGTGATTCTCACCAACTCGGAAACTGAAGCCCCCCCACCCCTGACTCTGATGGTCCCAAACACATCTCTCAGTCACCCTCGGCTAGCCTCAGCCAAGTTCAGAAGGAGGGAGGCAGGAGGCCTCCATGTCTCCAAAGTAAGAAAATGGGGGGTGAAGCCAGGAGGGTTTGTCTGAGTGGCTCACAGACCGCCCTCATCAGAATGGCTTCACCCCCTGCCCCTGAACCGAGCTGACTTAGAACAGAACAGGGTGGAACTGCCCCACTGACTTCTGAAACGGTACCTCTTTTCAGGAGTAGAAAGCCCCATCTTTCTCCCCCGGAGCGGCGGGTGGCTTGGAACTGCTGACCTTGCAGTCAGCAGCCCACCAGGTAGTCACTGCGCCACCAAGGCTCCTATCGGAGGATCCGGTTAAAAATCCAATTCCAAATCATAATCTCTGGAGGAGGGGCGGGGGCAGGCATTTTAATGGGCACCCTAGACAATTCTGAACACACAGAAGTTTGAGGACCCCTAGGCAGAAGCAAGCAGGAGTCTCCCACAGAAGCTAGAATAGACGCCCTCCCTTCTGCTGGACGACCCAGCCCCTGGACAGGAACTCACCGCCACAGACTTGACCTGCTTCCCGGCAAACCAGCGCAGCTGCTCCAGGAGGCCTTGGAACACCTCGGTCTTGTGGGCGGGAAGCTCGGCCACGGCCCCCAGCAGGGTCTTTTCCACAACACTCAGGGGACAAGCGGCTCCAAAAGAGATGCCTGGGAAGAGCAGGGACCAGAATGTCCTCCCTGAGAGCTTTCGGACGCAGCTCCTGTGAACCGTGACCGCCGCCCGAGACAGGTCGAACCACCCTCGTGTGTGTCTGTAGACGACGGAACTAGGACGCCACACGCTCGAGTCCAAGGCCACACAGCTAATCAAAGAGGCAAACCTCAACTTGGCTCCTTTTTTTTTCTTCCCCCTAAATCCGAGGTGAATCTTAACCCCATCACACCAGGGTCTCAGAGCACGAAGTCCTGGCAAGTTTTGAAAGCATCTGAGCACTGCCTCTCCCCCTTCCCTCCCCCCCACCCCACCCTCACCCCCAGAGACCCTAATGTGTAGACAGGATTGAGAACAAAGGTCAGAAATCTCACAGCCTTTTGCCTGGTGCCCCTTACCATGGATACTCAGTGGAGAGAAGACAGTCACCTTCCCCGTGCCCCCACCTCCCTCTTCAGGGTGGGCTCCAGGAGGGGTGGACACCCAGGAGAACCCACGAGAAAGCTGCCTGGGAAGACCATCTCCCCTGGGCATGCACCTCCACCATCGGCCCCTCTGCGGACTTGGCCTCCCTTACCCTCGGGTCCGTGCTGCACTGAATTGAGCTCAGGGATCCAGGCTGGGCAGACAATCACTGGAAACAGTTTATTCTTAAACTTCATCTCAATGCCTTGAGAGAAATGAGAAACCTGAAGCTATAAGTTATGTAAACAGAAAAGACCCTGATTTGATTTTTTTCCTCCCACAATGACACATGAAATATAGGCTCCGCAGGTAAATCAAAAAGTATTGCTCATGGGGTTTCGGTTCATACGTTCATGGGTTATGCCGAACAAAAGAAGTCTAAACATGTCTCTATAAACCGTGGGTGGCTGCAGACAAATTCCCTCCAATAACATGCTTGTCATAGTCTCAGGAGGTTGCCTTCAAAAATAAAAAACAAAACTCACCACCATCGAGTTGATTCCAACTCAGTGAACCTCTAGAGCTAAGTAGATTTCTGAGACTGTGACTCCTACAGGAGTGGAAAGCCTCATCTTTCTCCTGTGGAGTGGCTGGTGGTTTCAAACTGCTGACCTTGTGGGTAGCAGCCCAACACATAACCCATCCCACCACCAGGGCTCCTGGAGGAGGGGTTAGAGAGATAGGAGTACCGCCTTCAGACACCTATCGACCTAGATGGAGGGTACGTCCAAAAACAATAGCTTTGCATTTCGATAATTTGGCTTCAATGATTCTGTAGTAATGTTCTTTTACTTAGTCTCGTATATTCACATAAACCTAACATACTCCATGAACAGTCCGGCATTGGAGAGACATACAGAAGGGTCAGCCTCAAAACTACGTCTTTCTTTCTGAAGAAAACTTATCAGAATTCAAGTGGAATGAACTTGAATTCACCCTAACATCTGAGTAGTGTATACAATAACAGCATGGAGAAAACATAGGGAATAGAATATTTCTGTCAAGAAATGTTCTAAGCACGTTATATATTTTAACTAGTTCCATCCTCCCCACAGCCTACTCAGGCCGTTACTGTGATTTTCCACAATGTTATTCGACTCCACCAGCTGCTCCAAGAGAGAAAGAGAGACTGCTTGCTTCCAGAAACATGTCCAGTCTTGGAAACCCAAACCTCGAAACCAAACCCACTGCAACTGAGTCTACTCTGCCTGTTCGTGACCCAGAGGGACAGGGGAACACTGTCCCTGGGTGTCTCCAAGACTGTCAATCTTGACAGGAATAGAAAGCCTCATCTTCCTCCCTGTAAACCCTAAAGAGTGTTTTACTCTGTCCTATTATAGCAGGGAGAGTAAGACCTGGTGGCGCAGAGATTACAATTTGGGCTGCTAACCGCAAGGTCAGCAGTTTGAAACCACCAGCCAGTTCTGAGGGAGAAAGACCAGGCTTTCCACTCCTGTAAAGAGTTACTGTCTTGGAAACTCCCAGAGGCAGTTCCACCCTGCCCTGTAGGGTCTCTATGAGTTGGCATCCACTCAATGTCAGTGAGTTTGGTTTGGCTTATTAGAGAAGGGCTGAGAAACATCCAATCTGCAGACTTTGAAGGCCTTTGAACCATCCATACCAGCTCACATCACACACCTCATCTAAGAGCACCAGTTCCAGCCATCGCATTAGAGATGAGTTAATGAAATGTTTGGCAAAATATTTTTTAAAGACTCACTACCATCAAGTCGATGCCAACTCATGGCAACTCTATAGGACAGCTTAGAATTGCCTCTGTGGGTTTCCAAGACTGTACCTCTTTACGGGAGTAGAAAGCCCTATCTTTTTCTCAAGGAGCTGCTGGTGGATTTGAACTGCTGACTTTGCACTTAGCATCCCAACATGGGACCACTGTGCCAGGGAGATTCCCTTTGACCAAATATAGCCGCCTCATGGTTAAGTTGATGATTTTGTATGGCCTGTGAATGATGTTATAAATATCCACATGGCCTTTGGCAGAAAAAAGGTGCCCCACTCCTGCCTTATAGGGTCACTATCCGTCAGAATTGGCTTGACCTTCCTCAGCAGCGGTGGGGCTCTCTGCAGTCTCTCCCTGTTCCTTACTGGGTATTGCGCACCACGAGTCTCTCTGAACTCTGGGAGCCAGTGAGCACGTTGTGAGCTTCCATGCCTCAATTGATGGCACCCCTAGCATAAGGGGCCACAGTGCTAGGTGACTCAAACATACTCACCCTTGAACTTCTACTCTCTTCTTACAACAGCACCCCAAAAAGACAGGGTACAAACAGAGTGATGTCTGTGGAACCCCTGTCAGGCACTGACCGAGACCCGAGATCCACATCGATCCCTTCTCCCTAGACTGGGTGAGCCCTGTAGCAAAGGAACCAAGTCGAACTTGGCTTTGCCTCCCTACGTCCTCTCAGTGTACCTGGCTCATGTTGGGCACCCAGGAAATGTTTGTGGAGAAAAGTCAGCATTATAAAAGATCAGATTGATTCCTCAAAGCAATCCTGTGTGGGGGGCGTGACCACGATCCCCTATTATCAGTGGCCACCAAGTTGATTCTAACCCACGGCGACCTCGTGTGTGTTGATACGTCAAGTCTCAACTGCGCTCCATAGGATTTTCAGGGGCCGAGTTTTCGGAAGTACACCCTTGGGCCTCTTTTCCACAGCATCTGGAGAGAACTTGAACCTCTAAACCTTTCCATTTGCAGCCGAGCAGGTTAACCATTTGCTCCATATTTTTAAAAAAGGGACTCAAGCGGAAGGAGAATGAACTTTCCTGAGGACAGAGCCAGCGAGGGTTTCAACCAGGTCCATGAACTCCGAAATCAGAGGTCTTTGCAGGAACTGAAGCACCCAGGCTTCCTCAGTGGGAAAGAGCCCATCAGCACCCTGGCCCCCAGCCCCAGGGCTGCCCCAGGTCCTCACCGATCTCTGTGTTCCCCACCACCAGCTTGGCATCAGGGTGCTGAGACTTGAGTTCAAGCAGTTCATTCAGGGTGGCAGCCTGGATCCACGTCACACGTTCCCCCTCAAAGCACAGCTTCTTCTGAGGGGCATCTTTCAGCCTCTGGGAAAGAAAGTGTTCTCATGACACCGTCTCTTCCCTTCTAAGTCCGTTCTCCAGACAAATTATTTTAAGTCCATTATGGGATCAACTCTTCTCCTGATTTATTGAATGCTGAATTAAGAATGAAAATGTATGTTGGATGGGTTCTAGAGGGAACGAACACTAGGTATTGAGACAAGAACTCTATGGAGATTTTACATGTACAGGTACATGATCTCATTTAGTGTGTAGGAGACATGGTTTTAGAGGCAAAAGAGGAGCCTGGGGATCAAAGAGGCTATGGAAGCTCATGAAGGCCACCCAGATACGAGCAGACCTGAACTGGCTTTGACAGGAATCCCAGGCTCCATGGTCTCCGGTAGCCTTGGGGATTGAGGGGGTGGGACCGGCAAACCCCAAAGTAATGAATGATTTTATTTCAAGGTTTCCTGGTTCAGGGAAAGGTGTTGTGGCTGCCTGCCCCAAAACCATTTCCCTCTGGCCCCTTGAGCCTACAGAAAACCTCCATCTGCTCCAATTGCTGGAGACACCTGTCCTTGGAAAACCTTCTGAGCGAGTCTTGATGAGTTCCCTGCCAGAATGTTGGAGCAAAAGAACGCAGCCGTCAAAGTTAGAAGGTGGGTTTGAGAGGTGTCCTTAACAGTGTCCTTTGACTATAGCTGGTGTTCTGCTTATCGGTTTGCTTGTTTGATGAAAGGACTGCTTCAAGAGAGAACGGGCAGCTTGGGAAGTCTTGCGTTAACCTGTCCCTGCCTTCCTGGTCCTCACGACCTGACAAGGAATATCAAGTGAGTCAGGGTTGACGTGTCATGAAAGAAAGACAGTACACGCTGTGAACACCTAACACAGGGACTAGCCTAGCAGGGGTGTCGCAAGAGAGGAAGGGCAATCAGGGTTGTATTCTAAATGAATGACAAGCAGGACACAGCATGCCGCGGTAGGTGTGAAAGTGAAGCAAGTCCCCAGGGGTTCCTGGTACAGAGATGGACTAGGGCCTCTCCCTGGGACATCACCTACCAGCAACTCTGGGGGGAAGATAGGCTCCTGGGTCGGATCCAGGGGCATGAAGTCCTCGGGGTTGAATAAAGATGGCGAGAGAGTGACCTCCTGCGAGAAAGAACCAATAGACGTTACAGATGTTTCTCTTTTCGAATAAGCAACCCTTTCGCCAGACACCCTTGTCCCCAGCCTCCAGCAGGCGGTAGGAAGGCAAGCTGCTCCTGGGAAGTGGGGACAGGGAACCCTTTCTCGTCAGAGGACCCAGGGCTCACGTGGCCCCCTCAGAGTCTAGGGTAGAACGACCTGTCCTGGGGCAGAATCGTCACCACGAGGGAAGAGTCCACTTACTGCGAGGTTATTCTTCTGACTCATGCAACAGTTTGGGTTGTCCGCATTCCCGCCACAGCATCCGCCACCATTCTAGAGAGATGACTGACATTCACACAGGGCCACGTACACTCATCACAGACGCTAGAGCACTAGATTCCTCACATGCAGGGAAATCCAGCTCTGGCACCTCGATGCCCGTGTGCTTCTCCGGGCAGAGCTGAGACCTCTGCTAGTTTCTCGTCCGATTGGCCAACGTCAATGAACTCTATCAAGGATCAACTCATAGGGTCCCTCCCCAGTGGCAAGAAGAAACTGGACTCTCCAGAAACAAAATCCTTGGAAAACGAGGCTACACTGCATCAGGACATTCTGTTTTCCTTCTTCAAGGATACTTCCCTAGGAAGCTTCAATGAGAGAGGTCACCATCAGTTGTCTCAGCAGTTCAAGATCCTGTACTTCAGGATCTTGCTGGCTGGCTTCCCTAGAGAGTGCCCACCAAGCATGTTTCAAGACCTGTGCTGAACCCAGAACCGTGTGCAGCCTGCCGATGGCCCCAGCACGGTGGATCAGACACTTCTTCCTGGAAAACTAGTCACCCATGGCCCCTGCCTGTGGGCTTGCTCTGCAGGAAGGGTTTTAGAACAATGGCCATCCTCCGCAGGGGGGGAATTCCTCGGCATGCCAATGACAGAGAACAGAAAAAAGTCCAGAGTTCCTGCTTCCCAGAACCAGGGCACTGCAAAGTAGCAAGGGGTGTGTTCACCTGGTTAGGCCTGACGGATACACCCCAAGAAGGCAGGAGCCCCTTCAGAACCACGGCCTCGCGCTGAGGGTTAACAGTGGGGACACTCTGGGGCACAGCCCTGGCACAGTCCCAGGGCAGGCAGGGCAGTCCTGGAGGAGCCACTGCACGAGGAGAGCAGCTCTTCCGCTCCAGAACCAGGGACTCACCATGTAGCACTGGCATGTCCCTGGGGTTGTGTCACATCCACTAGCCTTCTGAGAAAAGAAAGCTTTCCGAGGCCGCGGGGCTCAGGACGGTGGCCTTTGAGTCCCTGTGAGCACTGGGAGGTGATGGCGTGAGGAGAAGACCCCTCTCTTGCCTTGTCCCTCTGGCTACAGAGGCCTCTCCTGCATCCACAGCGTCTCTGTTAGGTACCCAGTGCTGCTCTAGTTTGGCCATCTCTCCTGGCCCCTCCCATCTGTGTTGACAAAGGAAGGGGTTTCTCTTAAGCAGGGCACCTCTTCTCAGTAGCGTGCATGGAAGCTGCCTCTCTCCGAGAAGGAATGACGCAGGGAATTTCCAGGCCCTCCGGGAAGGCTACTGGCCTCCGGGTCCGCTACAGTTGGAGAAAGCCCAAGACTTCCCTCCCGACATCTCTCCTGGGCTCAGAGGACAAAGCCTACTGGGCTTCCTCAGATCCTGTGCCTGTTCCTATGGAGCCCCCGTAGTGTCATGGTTTCTCATCGAGCTGCGATCCACCTGGTCCTGGTCGGCAGTTCAAAACCACGAGCAGCTCCCATGGAGAAACACTGAGCTTTCTACTCCCAGGGACAGTTACAGTCTTGGAAACCCTCAGGGAATCGCTGTGCATTAGCATTGACTTGATGGCAGTGGGTTTTGTGTTGTCCTTAGTGCCTGTTTTTATAGCTGCTCTGTCCCTCTCCTCGCTGCTGGAGGGATCTTGGGATTTCCAGCTGTGGACACTGTGTCTGCTGCCTCAGCAGATGCGCCTTACATGTTTTCTCGTGTGTGCTTTGAACAGAACTAGACAACCACGCTTCTTAGTGCAGGGGCTCAAATACGAGTGAACAGAGGCTCTGTACAACGGGCCCGGGAGTCTCCCATGCGCAGCAAGCTCCAGCTGCTGAACACACTGTGTGTTGGTGTCCTGGTTGCTCGGGGCTCCTCGGGGGCTGTGGACAGTCAGAGGGAGAGAGGGGCTGACCTATAGTGAAACCAGGAGCCTCGTTAATGAGGGCAGCACTCAAACCAGGGAAGGAGCATGCTGTCAGGCAGGCAGGCTAGATCCTATCTCTTGGGCCAGCCTCCTATGAAGTAAGCAGGTGGGAAAGATGAACCACGCTTTGTTCTCAGCGAGGCCTGCACAAGGAGTGACGCTCAGCGAGTGGCTCCTGGCGGAAACGTACCAGCAGCAGCATTCACAGTGGCCACGTAGTCAACACTTACAATGTGCCAGGCATTGTTCTAAGGGCTTTACAAGAAGGGTTTTTTCGCCCACCCTGCAAGGCAGGTACATTATCATTCCCACTTTAAAAACAAATCCAGGACCCCATTAAATGATGGAAGGGGACCTTGAACCCCGGTCTACAGGCCCCAACTATGTGTTGTTGTTTTTTTAATCATTTTATTAGGGGCTCATACTACTCTCATCACAATCCATACATTCATCAATTGT